TTAGGGTTCAGGGTTGAGGATTTGGCGCTTTTGCCATAGTTGATCTAGGGTTCAGGGTGAAGGGTCCAGGGTTGGGGGGACCTGAGATTCAATGCTTTGTAGTCAGGGTTTGGGAGAAGTATGTTGACCAGTGGGTTCATGGACCTCTGAGGACGAGCGTCTCATAATTAGTTGCCACTATCAGGCAGATAGAGTGCACGGATTGAGAAGCCCTTGCTTCAGTCCATGCAGGCCTTCTAGCCTATCTCTTCACATGGAGGCCCGCCCTCAACGGAAAGTCTTTCTAGTACTCGTTTTTCGGAGTTTACAAGGTTTGACACTCATGAACCTTGGGGGTCCAGGTATACGAGTACTACCTACATGGGTCCCCAAAGTTTGTAAATGTTGCCTACATTGGGCTCTTTGGATCCCTAGGAGAAGAATGGGAAGGGCATGTAAATCAGGGCTCTCCCCTTCGGGATCAGCAATTGTCTCGGTGGAAAGTCTGACGCGGTACTTGTTTTTGGCTTTCCCAGTGGGTCCTAAGTACTGATATGGTATAGAGTAAGGCTTCTACGCTTGGAGTTAGTAACATGGTTTGGGTAAGTAGCCTCCGATATGAATACTTAGGATCCTTTGGGTTTTTTGTACGCCCACAAAAAAAAGAATCTGCAAAACACCAGCTGAAGCACCCTATACATTCCCCTGCAGCCTTTTGAAAAGGTAGCAGCATGAATCCCCCTAGGCAGTCAGCCCTAAATCCCAGAAACCCCAAGCCGCTATAAACCCCAATAGCAAGGACGACCGATCCCAACGCTGATGGCCGAAGCCTACGGCCTTCCCTTTGTCATGGGATACGTTGTGCTTCTTGGCTTTACCCCTTCAGGACTCCAAATTCAGGCTTCAGGGTGTAGACTTTGGGGCCTCCTGGAGGTATTAGTTGTAGACTAACAGTCTCAGGGTACCATAAGATCGCAGCAGACGTCGCCCGTCAGAGTCTTTCAATGTTCCGCAATATTTGGTTTCAAAGGGGCCGCGTGTGTTCGAGACACACCCACAGTTCGGCAACAGGTGGAGCACTGTTGTTGCTTGATTCTTAGCATCGAGAATTAGTATACTGCAGCACCCGTCAAATTCTTCTGTCAAGTGGCAAGCGGGCCCTCAACAGGTTGAACACTAGCAGGAAACTCTGTAAAATTGTGTACGTGCCTTTAAACAGCATAGGCGCCCGCATGTCATTGCGGAGTTAAGCTTAAGCCTAAGATGACTTGCGTGTGCTTAAGCGAGATTGGCGGCGTGGATCCCTAGAACAAACCTTCAAAGTTCCGATGAATAGTACTTACAGTACATTTTGTTTCCCACCTCCCATTTAAGCGCCAGTAAGAAAAGCTTGGGCAGGGTCGCCCAAACCAGAAGACTATGCAGTCTGTGCTGCTGATGGAATTCGGGGAACTTGTAGTTTCATTGTTATTGTTATGAATACGAGTACTCATAACATCACATTCATGCCGCGTATTGTTGATGTTGTGGGCCCCTGTAGGTGTGTACCTAGAGCCGGATCGATCATCTACGACATTGCAAAAGTTATTCCTTGGCGCTTGCGCAGAGCACTCTCTGGATGAAAGGCTATTGATGCAGGAAATCTTGAACGACGTTAAGTCTCTAAAGTCCTAGGATATCTCCATCGAAAGGATGTCATTGGCTGTGCAACGTTCCTGGATCCTGTTGCAGCCACGTATCTTCGGGGTACCGGCCAACACTCCAACTGAAGATCCGTTCCTTTACCCCAAGGGTTTGAGTACCCAATAATTGGGTACTTGGGTACTTGGGATTTGGGTGAGCAACTGTACGATTTGTGGGTACTTGAGAACCCGGATGGTTATATTCATTCAACTTGTGAATCTTCCAGCCCCGAGACCACGATAAGTGTGCCCTCTCAGGGAGGCGGTTTGCCAGCGAGTACAGCATATGAGGAAACTGATCCCCCAAATGCGCCACAGCTAAAAAAAGGTCGTTGCTGCCCCAAAATCCCTGGAGGTCCGGGTTACCAGCTAGTCCTGGCTCCCAGACTTTGCCCGCATCAGAAACATGACTTAGGAGCTATATGCTAGTCTCCATGGGCTGCCCAGCTGCAAGAAAGTTTTCGAAAGATTGTTGATGTTCAGGTGCACAGAATTTAGGTTTTCAAGGTCCCCGGGTCATTTCTGCCTGATTCGTGCCTAGGGCTTGCGCAGTTGGGATTTCGGGGTTCTAGGAGCACCCCCTGCTGCATTCTCTTGGGGGGCCGGAAGGTGGATTGCTACGGGTCTTGCGTGGCTGATGGCTGGCTACCCAGAGGATAAATGCCCTGAGGGCCGAGTACCCAAAAATGGGGCCTTTTAGGTCACAAATATCGTATTCTGAAGGATTTTTTGTACCCGAACATCTGTTTCCTTAGACCCTTATAGGGTTAGGATCCTCATTGGGCCAACGCTTTCCAAAAGGGACCCCCAAAAGTGGTGACATGCCGACATGAGCTACAGTCTAAACTCCTTATAGGGGGCGTTTATATAGGGGATTCTTAAAGGGCTTATGAAGGGGTACACTAGCCTTGTGACTACTGTACTTTGATGGTACAGAGCCGCCCCCAAAGGGCGCACGTGCGTGGTTTAGGGTTTGAGGGCCTAGGATTTAGGGTTTTAAGGTTTAAGGGTTTGAGGGTTCAGGGAAGAGAGTTCCTCATTTCGGGCATGGAGCATTCCGTACTTTGGGCAGGCTCTATACACAGATTGTGTGTCTTTTGGAGGGTTCTGGACTTGGAAGGTAGATAGTCTATAAGACCACGTGGCCTTGATAGTCGCTCGTACCTCTTTGCTTCCCAGTTCTCCCTCGCACTGCCAGCAAGTGAATGCCGTATGTTGCCCCAAAACCCATGTAGCTGGATTTGCAAGTGCGCCAACTCTACCCAAGAAACTGAGGTCCCTGACCAATCCCCAGATCATAGAATCCTAGGGCCCAGCCGCATAATCCTAAATCCTTTCGAACCTAAATCCAAACACTGAGCGCCGCACCCCAATGCCAAAGCTTTCACCCAGTCTGGACGGGGGGACTCTGATCCGGGGTGGCTCAGAATGGCTTGCAACACTTCGCAGCGGCTAGCCCTAAGGGCGCAACTGTCCCACCAAGTAATGAGCCCACGCAGTAAATCACCTAATTTCTTGGTTGACTGACTGTTTGCTTAGTGGATTGATTCGTTGCTGGATTGATGGGTTGGTTAATTGTGCCATCTAAAGGTATCCGCGTGCAAACTCACAAATGAAGTAACTAGCAAGGCCACGTTGTCAGGAAACATCCGGCAAGAAATTGGCCATAATACTTCAAGTGCCCAAGAATACAATACCAGTAAGCATAGCCTACCCTTCAGCCTTGCTTTTTTTATGTAGGCCACTACGGTATGCAGATTCCAGCAGCACTCCTGCTAGGAATCTTCAACGTCATTCTGGCGGCATCCTGAACAGCAGTTGGTTAAAGAAAGATTGTTTAAGGTTTAGGGCTGATGGGGTTACTTGGAGGTCCATGGTACTTATAACCTACTTAGCAACTGTAGTTATAACCTAAATATTTTTCCCATAACTACAGTTACCCTAGGTATAATTGGGTTATAACTACAGTTACTAAGTAAGTTATAAGTACCATGGACCTCCAAGTAGGGGTTGCGTGTCTGGAGGTTTGGGGGTTTGGGGTTTACGGGTCTTGGATCTAGGGTTCAGAGTTCGGTGTTTTGGGTTTGTGGGTGTTAGGGCCTGGGGCGTTTAGTACTCCAAATAAGACAGGAGCGTGTGGTTTGGAAAACTGGGTTCTTGAGGTATGAGGTATCCAAATCGCGCAATGTAGAAATTACAAGTCTATGGCTTAGGGATCAAAATCCCAAAGGAGGTACGGTTTATAGGGCCCAAAGTTATATAATTTATTGAATGACTTAGATGCCCAGGGTATTGAATGGAAGCTACCACGGAGGTTTTTCCTTCTGTCGTGGATTCCTTCTGACAGTCTGGAGTCCCCAAAACAAGGGCAACTGTTGTTCACTTGTGCGGGGCGATCGGAAGTGATACCCTAAGCTGTAATCATGTACAGCAGAGTGCAAGGAATGCGGTGTTCTAACTGGCGCTTGTAAGACTTTAAGAGACAGGCGGGGAGTGAAGAAATGCATTGTAGTTAACAGGGATATATTTGGGGGTTCTTGAAGTTTAGGGTCTATGGTTGGAGCGGCTGTTGTCCCTCAAATACGTATTCGGTGGCATACTACATGAGGTTTCCACGCAGAACCCAGGACTTCGTGAATAGCCCTCATATCGGGATAGTTGTAGAGATCCCTGCCCCTAGCGCTAAACTTACCTGAAGCCCCGGCAAGTTGTTTAGAGGTGCCGTTTGATTAAGGGACCCTTGTTATAAGGCTAGTTGCTGCGCGAATCCTGTAGAAGTTTGATTAGTTTGTGTTGTTATACCGGGGACTGTTAATACACTCATATAATATAACTCCAAGCCCTATTCCAAGTATGTCTGCCCCGGACCCTAAACCCAACCCTAAACCCCAAACCTATATTCATTATATTCATTCATGGCATGCCGATCTTTATGTTGATGCTGGGACCCTTTGGGTGCCCATGTCCGCTGAAGATTTCTGCGCAGGCTAAAGAGTGGCCCCCAACCCTGACCCCTCGCTGAAACTTACCCACTGGGGGTTAGTATAGATAAGAGAATATAATGCCTTACAGTCGCTACATGATTTTTGCTTCTTCCCCACTAGCCGCCAGTAAGCTTAGGGTTCAGGGTTCCAAGTAGACTTCTTCAAGGGTTGCACATTTGCCTTGGAGAGCTACCGTCCGAAATACAAGGTTCCAAAAGAAAAGGGTCCCCTTCGCGGGCGTGCTTATCAGCAGGATGATAATCAGAGGTTGGGGTCCAAATACGGGTTTTGAGCTCCACACAGTATTCAGACTAACAGCGCTGTTGATCCTTTTCGTTTAGAGGTGGTGGTTATGTTAACATTATTTCAACTATTTTTTGTCCAAGCTAGCACTTTGCTACTTGTGAAGGAGGGCCAACCCTAGTCCTGTGTGTTTGTACGTGCCTGGCAAGAGGACAGGTTTCCACGGGCAGGAAAGGTTCTGGGACTGTACCGGATGCCCCAGCTCTCAGAATTGCGCTCCCCTGAATGACCCCGAGCATTAGACCCTGAAGCGTTGCTTAGGTTTACGTCGACATCACCATGAAAGCTGCCAAGGAGCATGGGATCGTCTAGAGCTTAAGGTCTATAGGGCCTATAGAAGTGGAGTCTGGGGTGTGGGGTTGTGGGATAGATTAGAAAATTAATGTTGTAGGATTAGAGCTAAAGGTATAATAGGCTTAGATGTTTGCAAAGGGCTTCTAGAAGGGACCTTCGCAAGAGGGTAGCCGTGAAAGCTAGGTAAGATAATAGCCCCCAACCCCAAGACATAGACAAAATAGCCATTATTCTAGATATTTTTGGGTTCTGGGTAGCAAGTAAAACAAATCCATTAGCTCCACAGAAGCCTGCAATTCAGCTACGACTACATATAGTCCCCCTTATGTACATAGAATATGGCTTTGGGTATAGTATTATACTAGTTATCTCTATATACCCCATATTCGATCTACTTAAGGGGGACTATAAGCTCCTTTGTTGGGCACTTGGGTGATAAGGGTAAAGCCTTCCGGCCCAAAACTCCTAAACCACCGAGCCCCTAAACCCTAAACGCCTGAGCGCCAACCCTGAAGCCCAAAACCCTAAACCCAAACCCCTAAACCCCTCAAAACCCAAAATCTGTAGGCCTGAAGCCTTTTACCATGAAGTCGAAACGCTGAGGTTCCTAAAGCACCGAAAGACCGGAATCCTATAGCGCCATAAGCTGTTATAGTGTTTAGGGTCTAGGATCTAGGGTTTAGGGTTTAGGGGTTTAGGGTTTGTAGGGCTTAAGGTTTAGGGGTTTAGGGGTTTAGGGGTTTAGGGGTTTAGGGTCTAGGATCTGGGGCCTAGATGCTTCGAATAATGGAGAATCAGTGAACAATCATGGAAAGTTACATAGAAAGTGAACTTGATTGTATGGGGGATTATTGTCGCGGCTATTAGAACTTTAAACCATGAACCATAAACTCTAAGGTTATGAAGCCGGATGCTAGGAGTATACTCTATGGCTCACATGGGAAGTGAGGGGCCTTTTTCCCAGGAGACCGAAGCGGTGACGGCTGAGCAGCTACTGGATCTGGAGCTTACTTTCCCAAAGGGTCCAGGTAGCAAACTCCTTAAAAGGGGTTATATAGGGGATCATATAGGGGACCTTTAAAGGGGTCGTTAAGGGGGATACTGGGAGTTTAGACGATGGTTCACATAGTATATACTTGAGCCCTAAAATCGTAGGCAAGTGTTCTCCAAGGGCTCCATGTAGTTATGTAGCACAGGGTTCAAGGTTCAGGGCTTAGGATTTAGGATTTTGGGTAGCTATATAGTGTATACATGGGCCCAAAAATAGTTACATGAGAACCTCTCTGGGCCCAAGATATATACTATAGTACATGGACCCTAAGCCAAAAATCCTAAACCCTAAACCCTAAACGTAACTTCATGGAACCTTTGGGACCCTAGAGTTTCTGGGGTTCAGGGTACTTTCCCAAAGGAGCCTAAGTACTGGTATAGGGGATACTACCCCAAACCATAATCCTAACCCCTAGTATAGAAATCAGGCGTTTCTACCCTGGACGTACTCTATAATTGAAATTAAGAATTTGGTGGTCCCAGTGGTTGGGGCCCAGTGGTTGGGGTTTTGGGTTAGGGCCTGTGCAGTCCAACATCCACGCGGTTTAGGGTTTCGGAATTGTATTATGGTCCCCAATATGAATTTTAGGCACATTCCTTAACTAAGGGGTATTGGACTTTTTGGGTTACTTTGGGTCGCGGGACTGGAGGTTATTGTACCCTAAGGGTCCATGTACTCAAAAATTAGGTACATGGGATTTGGGTACTAGTAACTGAAGTACAGGTTTGGGTTAGGTATATGATTATTAGGTACTTGGAGAGTTAGGGTTACTTTGGGTTTATAGACAGGAGTTTAGGCTTTCAAGGGTCCATAGGGCTTTGTGGAGTTGACAGGGGTGCCCAGTGTTCAGGGCTAGAGGTTAGGTTCAAGCGTTGTAAGGTGCATGTAGGGGTTTCGGGTCCCATCGGGGAGCTCTTAGTCTTAGAGTGTGGCGGCCCCAAACTTTCTGTTCCCAAAGGTTTTAAAGTGTATAGGTGTTAGTGTTCAAGGTTTAGGGCCCTAAGGTAGTCATATGGAAACCCCTTTGGGCCCAGAGTATATTTTATATACCTACGTGGACCTTTGGGAGTTGCGCCCAGGCATGCGCGTGAGTCCATCCGCATCGCCCGGACGACGCGCCACTCGCACAGACCTTCAGGAAACGCCGAGGGGGCTTCTGGGCTTGCCCAAGCCACCACCATATGTAGAGCAATAGCTTGCTGTTCTTTGTGTTAATGGGCTTTGAGGCCAGTAATTTGCTCACTTTTCAGGTTTAAGTGGTGGCTCCGGGCTTATTACATCGAGTTGCAGTAGTGTAGTTGTTATAATCTCACCCTGAGGCCGCCTTTCTCAGGCTGTCGGAGTCCGTTTTTTTTTTTTTTTTTTT